ATGCAAGAACTTACTTTTACTCAATTAGTAAAGTTAATGTGGCACTTTTACCAGTTCATTTACTTAATTGATTAAGATAATGAAGGCTATGTTTTGAAGCACTAATCTAGTCTTTCTGTCATCGTCCATCAATGATCTCCGAGACCTTTGCTCATGTGAGGAATATCACAGCTGATTCTGGTCTGTGTGATTGCCGCTGAAGGCTCAGAGTCCGCTGAACTGAGGCCATTTAACTCAGTGATTGGGAGGCAGACTGAGGAGAACCGTGCTGTGGATAAATGCGTCACAGAGCAGAGTTTTAAAATAAAGTCTCAGTGGCAGTTTTGTGTGAAACGGTTTCATGCTGAAGCGTCATGGCTCAGTCTGATTACATAGAGGAGAACCTTAGCGCTTCGAGCAGTAGCATCCTCACTAATCTACACTCCCACTTTGGAAATATCAACGAATTGACCACGTATGCGAGAGAGCAGCTTTCAGCAGAGTTTCCCACCCTGGAGAACGATGGTGCACAGGACAGTGGAGCTCTTGATGAGAGCGATGACTCCCTGAACCAGCATGAAGACGACAGGTAAAGATCTCAAGTACTGTAGTAAACAATATGCAACTTTTTGAATTCATCTAGGATTTTGGTGATGAAACATTTTTCCTACAGCTCTGCCATAGACATATCGACTGCCATCAGGTCGGTGGCTTTACAGGGCACGTGGAATTTGGCAAAAATGCTCTCAGTGCCCGAGTTACTCTCTGTTCCCAGATTTGATGAGGAAGATCAGGATACAAATGCAGACGGGTAAGAGAGGCAATGAGTTATCATTTCAATATTCCGTGTACTCCAGTAACTAAATTTGGTTTGCTTGTTCAAACCAGGGAGGGAGAGCCAGTAGAGGAGGCAGAGTGGAGCATATCATTCCAGTCAAAGTACATCCACGTTTGTAAGCCTGCCCTTCTCCTCGAGGCCTCTTACAAGTCACTGAGTTTATCGTCAATAAAAAGACCCTGTTGTATCTCTCTCCACTCTGCAGTCCCTCTGTATCAGGACTACTGTCTGCAGGTGAAGAATGATCTGCACAGACTCAACAAGAGTTCTCTGTCTGAACTGATAACGCTGCAGGGTCTGCAGTTCCGTCTTGGCCCTCGTTCCCATTCTGAGACCTCATCACCACAGTTGCACCCTGCTGAAGCGACGCCATCCTCACCTTCAACTCAACCCATCAAGGTGACTCCATGCACCCTTTGGCAAGATCTAGATGAGGTGAAGGCATCTGGCCTGCTCAGCAGTTTGACCGCCAGAGAGATTCACCTTCAGGAGGTATGATAGTCTCTATTTCATACTTTTACTGATACGTAACTTATGATGTGTTGAAATTTAGCACGTAACATCTTATTAGCCTGCAAAGGTAGGGTGCTGGATATTCTTACCATAAGCATGTTAACATTTTGTATTTAAAGTTCATTCTGCGTCTTAGCATAGATTATATTCTGTACATTTGTGACCTGAAAACTACTATTTTTATAAACTGCAAAGTACTTTCAGTAAAATAGGCATTCTTAGTATGGCAAAAATGTCACTCATGAAGGAATTAATAGTGCCGTAGTCTAGGATTATTTATAACGCCAGATGAATATGCATTAATCTGTGTAATACGTTTTCTATTATTAATAATCAGTATTTGGAGCAGACGTTTTAAAAAAATTAAATTAAAAATGTTCCTGCTCCCTCTTGCTTTGTTCATTTGAAGTCCATGTTTGAGTTGATCGGTTCTGAAGCGTCCTACCTGAGGAGCCTTGGAGTGGCTGTCAATCATTTCCATGCATCAAAGGCCCTGAAGCAGACCCTGTCTCCGATGGAGCATCACTTTTTGTTTTCCAACATTCGTCCCATCATGGCAGCCAGTGAGAAGTAAGAGCGCCACGCACAGAACCTCTTCTATTTTTGAACTGGTTGTATTGACGTTAATACTGAGCCAGTGTCTTGTAGGTTCCTCATGGATCTGGAGATGCGACTGGGAGAGAGTGTGTTCATCTCTCAGGTTGGAGACATTGTGCTCCAGCATAGTTCACAGTTTCACGATCTCTATGTGCCATATGTGACAAACATGATGTATCAGGAGAACTTGGTCAACCAGCTGCTGTAAGTGTGTGTTCTGTATTTATCACCATCAACCTTTGTAAATCAAATCCATTCACTCGTGGTCTTTTTCCAGTCAGCAGAACAGAGACTTTGTGTTTTCACTCAAGAAGCTCGAGAGTGACCCTGTTTGTCAAAGACAGGATCTCAAGTCGTTCCTCGTCCTTCCCTTCCAGAGGATTACTCGTGTTAGACTTCTGCTGGAGGTAGGCATCTGATTGAAGTATTTTGATTTTATTTTTTATCATCTTGGCTCACAATGTTTCATAAAGTGTGTTTTTCATTTCAGAACATCCTGAAACTGACTGAACCAGACACGGACTCAATTTCAAATCTTGAAAAAGCAATCAAAGCCATTCATGAGGTAACGCTGTTCGCTCTCGAGTGCACAAATCTGAATAATCATATCAAGATAGAAGTCAACAGAGGAATGATAGTTGTCGAGTAATGTTGTCGTGTAAATTGTGGTAATAAGACTGATTCAACAATGAGTAGAGTCAGTGAGGCAGAAAACTTCATCACTGGTTTTCTCTCACCAGATTGTGACCAACTGTAACAAGGGAGTACAAAAAATGAAACACATTGAGGAGCTGGTCTGCCTGGAGGCGCTGCTGGATTTTGACAAAGTTAAGGTGAGGAGATGTTTCTTTTTTTAGTTTAAAACAAACTTTATTTTCTCAATATAACCTGTAGATGGCAGTAAACATTTTAATAGACCACCACCTCTTCCTCCATCCAGTCAGTTCCTCTGGTGGTGAGTGGGCGGTTCCTGGTGCACCAGGGTCCCATGAGACAGCTGACTGTGGAGGGGACTTATAACTCCAGAACATCATTCATCAGCGTCTACCTCCACCTCTTCAATGATCTCCTGATCATCTCCTCCAAAAGGTATTTGAGAAACACTACTAAACAAATTTAAATTCGATTTAGAGTAAAGTAAATAGGTTACTTCTGCAGTCTGAAAAGGTGCAAGACATAATGTTAATATTTCCTGATGAGAAACCAAACAGCCCAGCAGATGCTTTAGTTGAACATCAAAATGATCATCTCCATTGTTGGCCATTAATCAACACTGACATCTCTCTGCATCGTGCTCAGGGATCAGCGGTTCATAGTTCGAGATCACACTGAGTTCCCTGCACATGTGCGTGTTGAACAGCTGAAGCCCGAAGTCCTGAATTTACCTTCAGACTCCTTCCTGCTACATCTCTCTCAAAGTCAAGTAGGACACCCCACTGCCATGATATTTGTCACGAACACAAGGTTAGAGAAAACTCTCAGTGATCATTACATCTCTTCAATCAGACAGTTATTCATCTGTCATTACTTTGCTTTCTTTTCTTTAACCACAGGTCAGATAAAGAGGCGTGGATGAGGTTGCTGTCAGGTGAACAGTGATGGCATCATGACAATTTAGAATTTGAGGCATCAAACTTTGGTTGTTTTAAATTCACGTTAATATTTTCGATAATTTACACATTTTCACCCTTGAGATTTATCTGAACTTGACTGCACTTCAAAATGTTCAGCACAGTCACATGACATCATAAGACAAAACACAAGAGAATTCAAACAAGCAAATTCACAGTAGCAGACACACGGTGTGAGGGGATCTTTTTTTAACTTTTATTTAATATTGGCCTCTTAGGCAATGTTCAGTTTTCTTATTATTTTGACCTTATTAAATCAGCCTAATGCACAAATGTCTAAACCAAATGAAGATGGTCAAAAAGATAACAAAACACAAACAACACACAACAAAACTGATTCTCAATGTGAAATATTATTTCAATTTTAGCACAAACCTAAATGAACATTCTTACTGAGAACATGTGGCCCCAGGTGATTAAAAGAACCATTTTGCAGAAATACAATTCAGAGCTCTTATGATATTAATGCTTGACTGATGTTATATACTGTTTTGAAATAAAACCTGGTAAAAGATAATTGAGATTTCTTAAATTTGACTGTACAACTGAGGAAGGAGACCACAAAAATCATGTAAAGTCGACATGATGACTAAACAGGAGGCACTTGGTGTTTATTTCTTTCAACTAAACAACTGGTAAATACTGAATCTGGATTTTAAAGAACAAGCAATGAGGGCATTCCAGCTTTATCACATTAATATGATCAGTCCCAGATAGTATCTGGTCTTAGGTCATGATGTCAATACATCGGCCTCCTAACATGCCATGAGACGTTGACACCTTTGAGAATAAGCAACTGTTGAAATATATAAGGCGTCCATCTCATCCTGAGAGATCTGAGATTCTCACAGACCAGCTGCTGAGGACAGTCCCTCAGCGACAGACACCCTGGGGTCCATTTCACCTCCACTCTTCTGTATCAGAGTAGAGTCACTGCGTCCTGCTGTGAAGGGTGGCGGGCTGATCCAGCTGTGACACAGTCCTGATGCCACAGCTGCTCTGCCAGGCAGTTGAGGAGCAGAGCTACGTCACCCAGGCCATCGCTGACCTCCCCTCCCACACGCAGCAGCGGCAAACTCCATGTCTCCTCAAAGTCCCTCACGTCTCTTTCTGCCACGTCACAGTGCATGAAGAGATCAAATCTAAACCCAGCATTAAGGACAACTGCTTGTCTGTATTTACTTAATTAAAAAAAACTTTTGCATAGATAACAGTGTTTTAGCTGTTTTGAAGTGAATTCTTATTTTTATGTACAATACGAGAAGTAAGAGTTACTCCTGTGGATATTAATTGAACTGGTGACCAAACCCTTTGACGCGAGTTCAATAACTGTGTTCATTACTTTATTAAAATGGCTCAATTGAAACCCAAAAGAACACAAAAGGATACTTTGTGCCGACCACCAGTTTTACAACTCGACCCACAGATGGCCCGGTCCACTTAGCAATCTGATTGGACAGATCGTCGAAGGACGTCCTGTCAGTGAAAGAAAACAGGAAAAGGACGGCGTCCACCTGCTCCTTGCAGGACTGAAAGACACAGGACAGTGATGTGACACGAGGTCCAATGTGATCATTGAAAGTGTTTTTCATACAAATTTAGTACAGTCTTTTTTTCTATATCTCATTAGTTCACAACTCAGTTATATAAAAACATACAGTATATGTTATACATACCGGAAGCAAATGGTCAAATCTACGCAAGGCGTTCTCTCCACAGTCCCACAGCTGCAGACGGAAGAAAATCACTCGTCCACTTTCTCTCAGCTTCACTGGCCAATACACCACTGTCGTCTCAATACCTTCAATAACAGGAGATGCACATTAGTCACACCGCATTGTAAAAATAGAATAGTTTGAAGTGGTTTCATTTATTAGTATTCCACTTAGTCACACTGGTTCAGGAGCCTGTTGCACGGACCCACCTGTTGTTTCGTAGTGCACAGGTGGAATATTCAGGCCTGCGAGTCGTGCAGCCAGAGCAGTTTTACCAACTCCACTCTTTCCAGAGATGAAGATCTTATAATGAACCGTGTCCACAGCTGCATGTGGGGGCATCACTGGAGACTCCAACAAGCCTGTGAATCACATTTTACAAGAACCAATAGTTTTTCACTTGTCGTGAAGCCTGGTGTAATGTGAGTACCAAAGAACTTAAATTAGCTCTCAAGTAAAACCACTTGTTGCACTGCAGTGTCTTTATTAACCTACCAAAGTTCTTGCGTCGCTTCTTGTGCAGGATCTTGCTGAAATATTCTTTGCTGTCTTTACATCGATGCCAGTCACTTACGATGACTGATCCTGGAGCAGGGACATCTGCCATGTTGTTAGCTCGGAAGCTAACGGAGGTAGCATCGCACGGAGGTCAGAGCAGACAGACGAGTGTTTGAGGCTAAGTGGTGTTAGCTTGTGGATATTAAAACATGTCGTATTAACTGTAAGAGCTTTAAAAACTACTGTGGGCAGAAATTAGTGCGTAAAACTCATGAACACTTCCGTCAACCAAAACATCCCATGACAACCACTTTCGTCACTTCCGCCTTTTTTTCGTGTTGCCTTCAAGAAGTCGTCAATCACAAGTTTATCTGGATCTAATCTGTCAAAGTGCTCAATTATCGGTTCATTTAAGACACGAGTTGTCAACTCAGTGTATTATCATACATGTGGGTCACAGAGGTAATCCTTTGTTTTTATAATGGATAACACTTCCAAAGTTTAAAAAACCAAGAGAGTTGTTTAAAATAATTAGTATGTTGTGAAGATAACCCCGAACACCCAGAATATTATTTAACTGTTTGGTTTTCTTTATCAAAAGCTAATTATCTAATATCAGAGAAACAAACGATCACCTCTGTGACCAAAGTGTATAAACTTGTAGTTAGCCGCAGACTTGCAGTTTCTTTGTGATTCTACATTGCTTATTCTTAAATATCACACCAACAGAAACAACAAGTTGCTTTTTTCATTTTATTTCCATTGTTGGTGGCTTCAATTGTACTGGATGAGGTTTCTCATATTTCCCATAGTCTGTGAATGGTACACTGTGTGATCCTCAACTCGCCAGTAGAGGTCACTAAACTCCAGAGTTTCACAGGAGGGTCACTGGTGTAGTGGTGAGATTACATCTGTAGAAATACATCAGAACAAAGAGACAGACATCAGAGGACAGTTTTATTCTGCTTCTGAAACAACAAAATGTTGATCACAGACAGAACAGACCCTGTGAGCTCTGACCGTCAGGACCCCGCTGCTCCCCAGGGACATGGTCACAGACACAGGGTCCACGTCTGATGGTAGAGCGCATCGGTGGGATAACGTATTTGTGACTGTGCCATCTTCTCCCAGCTGTTGAGCAAGATTATGAGACCAGGAAGTGTTTTCAAACTGAATACATTGGCGTGGTCATCGAACAAAGACAAAAGCTCATAGATCACAAGTCCAAGGTAATATTTGTAAAAAAATTAATTCCTGAAACCTTTCTGGTGTCTACATGTCTTCATAAAGTCTACATCTGTTTTCTAAATAACCACTTTAGAAACAATTTAAGCACAAATTAAACGCATTTACCTTGGTTTCACAGAAAGTATTTACAACTTACTATTTTTTACTTTCATTTTGTTCATTTAAATCTTGCTTTTCATCCAATGCTGCCATGCAGGGTGTGAATAATAATCTGCAATCCCATAATCAATTCATCTTTTCTTTTTTTTTTATATATATATTCCACAAGCATGCCTCATCCAGCTGCCTCATCAGTGACTCATCCCAGAGGAACATCTGTGTGGTTTTTTGTTTTGACTACACAGATGACATTAGCCATTGTCTGCACCAGACCCACTGGTGGGCTCACCTTCTCAGCGTGGACCTCCAGCAGGTTGTTTGAGGATGTAATGATGACATCCTCTGGAGAAAATTCGCTCACATCGACTGTGAACTGGAAAATGTCTCCAATGACCTGGATCTTCCCAGTAGGATACGAATGTTCTGGAACAAGTGATAGAATAGATGACTTTGTTATTATTATTACACAAAAATAAAACGGAGTGTTTCTCCTGGATGGTTTTCTAAATCATACATATCCATCAATCTTTGTTCAACTGACCTGCGAATTTGTGTTCTCGACTGCTCTGCTGAGGTTTTGATCCTGAATCTTCAGAGAAAATACCTCGACCTTTCTCCATACAGACTGAGGACGTGAACTGTATCTCTTGCTGACTGTATCTACAATCCAGGAGAGCTCATTCTAGTCTCTTGGATTCTGGTCTCTGATGAAAGACTCTTTTATAGGCAACTGGGAGGTTGTGGGAGATGTGATGCCCCTGAATGATTCCGCTGGGAAGAAGATGACACAGATTTAAGATATTTAGTGTGTCAGAACTTTTGTTGAACGGTTGTCGAAGGGTCCAGAATTTCTCACCGCACCCCTGACTACTGGCAGCCTGTGTTTGTCTTGGTGTGTTCGTGTGAGAAGCGACGTGAAGGAATAAGCTGTAATTATCACGTGTGATAGCGAAAGAGCTGTCGTCCTCAACCTCAAGTCAAGAGATGCAGCATTTAGATGCACCAAATGAGCTTTGAGACAAGATTTGTAATAAAATCTACCTTTTTTTTTAAGGTGTGTAAGTGTCTCAAAAATGACACTGCACCGATTTCTATTGAAGGCCTTACAGAGGCAGAGGGGGAGGGGGGTCAATACGTCGAAGTGGCAGTGGTATGATGGAGCACAGTTGTGCGTAGGTGTGACATTCTGCCCCACCTTGGTATAAGTCATCGAGGTTGATCAGCTCCATCTGGACGACAGGCATCAACCGAAACAAGCTTGGTTAGGGTGTGCTGCTGAGTGTGAAGAGGAGTCGACTGTCAGAGAGAAAAAAATAGTTTTAGACTCTCAGGACGTGTTGTGGTGAATTCATGTGTAAGACAAGAGCATGGTGTCAGAATAAAGTTCTTTAGAGGTTATCACGATAGTGTGAAGAATATATAGGGTTTGAATGTGTAGCAGTGTTGCTAGGATACATGTTATGATGGTGTAAGAATGAAGAGCATTATGTCAGGAGAGGAAGCATTAATGTCTGTACTCTTTCAAACATTTAGGTACAATACAGTAAACAATACATTTTTTTAAATGTATCTGTTTGTTTATCTGTCTGTGTTTGTCTATTTATAGATTTTGGGCTGTTTTACATATCAATTATTTATTTATCCAATTACTTATTTACTCTTGTAATTGTTTTCACTTTTAATACCCTAATTTACTCCTTTTTTTAGCATTTTATATTTTTAATATGTTATTATTTTATCATTTTTCTTTCTTTATCTAATCTTATTATTTCTATTTCAGTTTATTTCAGTTTATTTCAGTTTATTTAGTCTTTATCTAATTTTTACTTTATCATAATCCCTTCACATCAAGGATCTCTTTTGGCATTTTATTGTTTTATCTTTATCCTTTTCACATCTCTGATAACATTTTTTTTTTTATCTTCGCTGTTTTATCTTTCTTTGTTTATCTGCCTTTGGTGCAACCTCCTTTCAAATTTATCAGATTAACCCCAGAGCTTCCTCAGTTCCTGATAATGATGTTTTGCTCTGAGCATTAATGGGTAGGGTACAAGTACTCTGTGTTTCATTGTTCATATGTGAAGTGCTTTACAAATGCACTGATTGATGGATAAAATATGTACAGGTTGTTATTCCTGGACAGTTTAAATGAGATCAGTGTTTTCATCAGTTATCATTTTGTATGTATTATTAAGTACAATGTAAGTGAATGTCAGTAATGAATCCATCCAATAGTTTTTGTGGTATTTCACTCAGTTGTACAAACAACCTCATGGTGGCATGAGAGGCAATGTCACCAAAGTCAATAGGATTCACCCTCTGGGGAGCATGAATCCTCAGTTTTATGTTAACTGATCCAATAATTGCTACGATATTTAATAACGACTTAGAAACTGATATAAACACAAAAAACACTGACGGCTGCTGAGTTCAAGAAAGTGATCCAGTCACAGGCAACACTGATTTTATTTCAACACAAAAATACACGGCCTGGCAAATATGTCCCAGGTCAGATCTCTTTCTCATGTAACAAATGTCATAAATACAAAGTAAAAATAAATATTAAATAAGAATGGACAGTTGAATTAAGACTAGTTGTAAACAAACAAATGATGAGAGGAAAACGCATCATGTGAAACACACACTAACCATAAGAATGTGTGATGCTTTGCCCTGAGTGGAACGCTTATTCCAAATATAACAGCAAGTCTCATTGAAAAAAAAAAAAGAAGTGTAGCAAAACAAACTGATTTAAGGATCCAGACACACTGGCCAGATAAAGTGAGTGCTTGGAAGAAAAAAGCCCTTTCATCTTTAAGAGCTTAAGATAGTTCAGTCATTCATTGAAAACAGAGACCGACTCTGGCACTGTCTCACTACATCACATAATTTATCTTTTGACACATTTTTACATAAAGATTAAATATTCCTCTTCTTTTGTTATAAAGTACATAAGTGTTTTCAATCTCAGTCCTTTCTGAGTGGCTTGTACGGTCCTCTTCAGTCGCGCCACACTGCACCAAAGGTAAAAAATAAACCTCGGCAGCATAGCCTAGTTTTAACCCCCCCCCCTTCACTTTAGTCCTCCATGAGTAAAATAGCGTGGTCGGTCAGTGCACTTTGATTTGGAGGAATGCTTTAGATCACACTGCGAACACGCTGAGCGAGCTGGTCTCATCTTTCAGGCCCAGGATGCTGTAGGCTATCCTCTTCATGTGACCGGGCAGCCGCACGCCGATATTCCTGATGTCTCTGAAAGGAAAAAAATATAAACAACATTTTAGTGATCTAAAAAAAAAAACTATTTGCATGACGAGAGCACAGTGGTACTGTAGTGATTCTCGGGACGGGTTGTTTATACACTCGAAAGTGACGGCATTAACAGTTGAAATAGGCTGTTATATTCTATAAATAAGAATGAACAAAAAAATGGTTTTAATTGACCAATAACTGAATGGACACATGATTATTATCTTGGCCAATGAGGTTTTTCAGACCTGTCTATTTGTTGGTTGGTTGGTTCATTTGTTTGTTTGTTGGCAGTACGATTTCTCAAAAACTACAGAACATATTTCCATGAAAATTGTTTGAAGGATGTGACGTGGGCCAAGAAAGGACCAATTACATTTTTTACTGGATCCAGACAAAGGGTCAGATCCAGGAACTTTTCATTACTTTCTTTAACATTACCTTTTATAAACAGGTCGACGATTTCTTATTATTAATCATTCAAAGATCCTGATGAAAAAAATCTGGCTGATTTGGGGTTCTGGATCGAGTGGTTTCATGCACGCTGTATAAATAGAGATAGATGATGAGATATGTTGAAGCTACCATCAATGTGTGGCTTGTTTATTGTGGTCTCAGCTATTAGGCGTGTTCAAATTTAAAGGGACTGTTGTGTCTTGGCTGAGGTATGCACATTACTGACGCCATTCTAGTTTAAAATAATTTACAGTGTTAAAAGGCGGTGGAGGTTGTGGCAGTAGAGAATGAGAGGAATGGCATGGGCAGAGGCGGAGTGGATTAGTCCTGCATCACAAACTGCTCGACAAATGTTTCAGCTGAGAACTCAATACATTCTCTGTCTTGCCACAAGATGTGGCTCGGTGCCAGATACACCCGTGTCATGTGTGCACTTACTCATGCCTCAAGGAGAGCACCTGCTCCATAGTCTTGATCCCTGCGCGAGTGAAGCTTTCGTTGTACTGACTCATCTTGATGGACTCCAGCCACTCGGGCACCGTCCTGAACATGGTGCCGTCGCAGCCGCTGGTGCTCGGCAGGCGGATGGAAACACTGCAGAGGAAAGATGTGTACATAGATTACTCACTTGGTCATTTACTGTTACTGTATATACACGGACTGTAGATCAGATCTGTACATAATGTTTTTCAATAACTTCTAATCGATGGAAAGTACCAAGATTAATGCTGCACGAGTTAAATCAAAACATGGGCTTATAAATGCATAAATAAAAGTTGTTCAACTTTAGAAATCCTCCACAGAACTTACTCTTCATCTGAGAGAACTCTTGATTATAATACTACAACTAATAATAACATAAACAATTATAATCATAATTCCCCTAAGTATTAGTGCATGTGTGTACTTAACCTTTTGGGAAGTGTAAAAGCAACAATAGCCATTTGTGGGTTATGTTCAGGTCTATTTATTGGTCAGGAACAGTTGGCAGCCAACCAGGAAGTCACCTCGCCATTAATAGCTCCAGATATAAAACCCTATTCATTTTTACTCTTTGTTTTTGTGCAGATTAAGTAAACAAGATATCAGGAGGTAATGAGCGTATTTCCCTTAATACACATACATCTAGATTAGTATCATCTGATTTATATCACTGGTGGAAACTGGAAGGATTGTTTTTTAGTTTTAAGTGACAGTAAAAAATTGTTTTATTTGTATCACTGAAAGTTTAAGAAAGATTCAAAGATTAAAGAAAGATTAGAAAAATGTATATTCATACCGTGGATCAAAGTCAGCAATGGTTTTCAGAGACTCTGGGTTTCGGAGCAGTTTGTCCAGAATGTTGACGATGTCTGAGAAGCGAGGTCGTATGGAGCGGTCGTGCAGCCAACACTGGAGCATGAGCTGGTAGATGGCTGATGGGCAGTCCATGGGAGCAGGAAGCCTGAAGGCCTCGTTGATGGCTTTCATGACCTTGAGGAAGAAACAGGGGCAGAGTGAAGTCAGTGCTTAGATTTATTTTAATGGTTGAAGAGACAGACGAGGAGTTTGCACAGGCAGCGTTCCAAAGAAGTGCTGCGTCCGCATGTTGACGTTAACAGTAAATTTAAAGAAGTTGGTGGGAAACTACGCTGGATGTCAGGCTACTTTCAATCACCACCTCCCTGCAGCAACTCAGTGGTAATATACATTAAAGTTTGACCCACGCAGGCCTAAACAATCCCTCATCTCCACCATAAGACCTGGAGAGAGGTCGTTACAAATGAAGCATACCTCATGGTTGCTCATGTCCCAGTAGGGCCGTTCTCCAAATGCCATGACTTCCCACATGACGATGCCGAAGCTCCACACGTCGCTGGCTGAAGTGAATTTCCTGTATTCGATTGCCTCGGGGGCGGTCCAGCGGATGGGGATTTTACCTCCCTGACAGAAGAGACAAATTAACAAGTCATGAGTGGAATGGAAACACACGGTGCTGAAAGATCAACACTTAGGACCGGACACTTGGGAGTAAAACAAGATCATTAACAGTCTGAGTTTGGGCTCTAGAAAGAAAATAAGGGTTGGTCTGTGTTCTGCTGTTGACTCACCCTGGTCGTATAGGTGCCCTCGGCATCGTCCTCCAACACACGCGAGAGGCCAAAGTCAGACACTTTACACTCCAGGTTGCTGTTCACCAGAACGTTCCTCGCTGCCAGGTCACGGTGGACGTAGTTCATGTCAGAGAGGTATTTCATGCCAGCAGCTATTCCACGCAGCATTCCCACCAACTGATATGAAGGAATCTCTCCATCCCGGTCCTAAAGGG